ATTGTACGGTGGCATTAAGTGCCGTAATGTGCACCTCTGCTTACCCCTTCGGGGATAAAAAGACGTTATGTTATGTAAATTTTTCGGTTTCGCGCACGGAGCAAATATTTGTGTGATCCACTAATAGTTGTTCCAGGTCTGGGTGTCATGTGTATGTGAACTTGTATGTTTGTAAACGCACCCACGATACAAGAGAAAATCTTAATGTGGTGTAACGTTATAAAAAGAAAAATTGCAAAAGGGCCTCGAATGATGCCCAAGAGCCCCCGTAGTCTTAGCCGGTCCTTTTTTTTGAGGGGGGAAAATCATCCAATGACTTCTCCCACCCGGGTGAGTCGAGAGGGAGTGTCAGACTCTTACTGACTAAAAACCACCCCGTTCCTACTCCCTGCACTTCGAGCCGGAGCCCCGGCAACCCGTTAAGTCTTCCGGGGCTCCGTATCGGAGTCTAAGACGGTCCTGGATTATTATATTTTGTCTGGTAAGTGAGAATTATGTCTAAGATAACACATCATAACATCACGCCTTTTATCCCCGAAGGGGTTGGCAGAGGTACACATTATGCCACTGTACAATGTAACACCCACTTTTCACTATTTATGTTATGAGTCCATGTAATAGGGAGTGAGCCTATTGTCGTATACTGAGCACAATTCCAGACTCCGTGCTACTACTGAGAATTTTTTTCTACGATCTGGTTTCGAAAATAATATAAAACAAGAGGAGAGGTTTTAAATTATGTACAGACATACTTGTGTACAGAATAGAGTAGTTTATACTCTATTCTGTATAGAATAGAGTATAAACTATAACATACCTAATATATAATAACTATAGAAAACAAGAGTATGTACCTATTTACACAAGAAAAAATTGAAGATCTATCAAAATTTACAATTTCAGTTTGATGACCAGCTACTTTATTTTCGTGGGATGATCATTATGCGGAGGCACAGGAGTGCTCGCCAAGATGAATAATTGTAGTTTAGAATTTCAATCATGTGATAATCAAAAAATGAGTCAAGACTAATTAAAATTACAATGTTAAAATACAGTCAAAGAGTGTTATGAAGCTCAAAAATAAAATCGCCAAAGGAATTTTAAACCATTTATTTATAATTTTACATAATAATAATACATATGTCAAGCAATACAAGAACTGACAACTGATTGAATAAACAAATAATGATGTAATTTAAAGATCAGTTGCTGTTAGTCAAAAAATATTCTTTATCATCCAGAATATATTCCAGAGAACAATTGCTCTTTATAAAATACTATGTGGAACATGAACGGCCGATCAGCATTGAGTATAGGAAGGTCCAATTTTGATAACAAGTTCAATTCCGCTACTGCAAATATGAATAGATAAATCCAACATCAGAAAAAATATAACAAAATAAAATTCTTAAAAATCTAATTTTGCGATATCTAAAGTGCGATGAAGTAGTTTTTCATATACTAATGTAACAACTAAACAAATATGATTGCCATGCAATAGTAGCATAAATACAATAGCAAACCAGAAATAACTTAAGAGATAGTCAAAAATTAAATATTCATAACA